TGTGAAGCCCACTTATACCAAGCACCTGTAGAGAGTGCCCTCTTTTGCAAAGGGCAGATCCTTTGGATAAACACACCTGTATGATGGCAGAGCATGTATGCCCACTTCCTATTTCTAACTATCAATCAATCTAATTCTTTTACTGTGATTATGAATAAAGAACCAAGGATTACCCAATATTCAGAAATGCCTAACTGCACCAAGATGTACAAATGCTATAAATGATATCATAGGAAAAATAAACCAAAACAAACCTCTGATACACATGCTCAGAGAAATTCAAACACACCTTGCATCCATAAAAAAAAAAAAGACTGCTTTTAAAAAGGAGTAGAAAACAAACATTTTTTAAAATTAAATATATAATTGATAACATAAAAATTAGAAAGGGCAGAGTTAGGGTTGTGGCTCAGTGGTAGAGCACTTCCTAGCACACATGAGGCACTGGGTTCAATCCTCAGCAACACATAAAAATAAAAAAATAAGGTATATTTTTTAAAAAAAGGTTTAGTTTAAAAAAATTAGAAAGGGTAAAAGGAAAGGTCAAGGAACTCTAGCTAAAAAGCTGAAAAAGATAAAGTTAAGGGATAAAGATAATAATCCATTATCAAATAATAGTTCCAGAAAGAAAGAATAGGGAGAAAGAAAAGAAGAACAGTGAGATAAAATATTATAAAAATAAATCACAAAAGAAAACTCTCAAAGCTGAAAGCCACCAAGCCATCAATTGTCCAACTGGACTGAACGATCTCATTAAGAGTCCAAAATAAAATTTAAAAGACCTACATCCACATATATCCTCAATACATTTAGAAAAGCAACTATAAACACTTCCAGAGAGAAAATACAAACAAATGAGAATAGATTTGGTATTAAACTCTTCATCAATGGCATCTGATGTGTCATGAGACAAAAGCCCCAAAGACTTTAAAATTCTGAGGGAAGCGAACTATTACTCAGCCTTAAAAAGGCAGGCCCTCTGCCGCATGTTGCACCATGCATCATCATGCCAACTGAAGTAAACCAGCACAAAAGGACAAACGCTGCCCAAGTCCCATTATATTAGATTGCTAGAGTCCTCAAAGTCATAGGCACAGCAGAATGATGGCTGCCAGAAGCTGGGGACACAGGGAAAGGGGAGTTAGTGTTTAATGAGTACTGAGTTTCAGTTTGGGTAGATGAAAAAGATCTGGAAATAAATGGGAGTCATGATTACCTCCATGTGAATATACTCAATGTTAACTGAAATGATTTCAAGTGACAAATGGTTCAAATGACAAATTTATGCTACATAAATTTTACCACATTAAAAAAATAAAATAGGTATAGGGGTGCCAAGCAAGATGGTTTACACCTATAATCCCAGCAACTCAAGAGGCTGAGGCAGAAGATCACAAGTTTGAGGCCAGTCTCAGCAACTTATTCAGGCCCTAAGCAACTTAGCAAGACCCTGTCTCAAAATAAAAATGAAAAGGACTGGGGATGTGACTCCATGGTAAAGCAACCTTAGGTTTAATCCTCATATCAAAAAAAAAAAAAAAAAATGGCCAGGCAGTGTATATAGCTCAGTGGTAGGGCATATGCTTAGCATGAGCAAGGCCCTAGGTTCAATCCCCAGCACCAAGAAATAAATAAAAGGGCTGGGGATGTGGCTCAAGCGGTAGCGCGCTTGCCTGGCATGCGTGCGGCCCGGTTCGATCCTCAGCACCACATACAAACAAAGATGTTGTGTCTGCCAAAAACTAAAAAAAATAAATATTAAAAAAATTCTCTCTCTCTCTCTCTCTCTCTCTTTAAAAAGAAAGAAAGAAAGAAAGAAAGAAAGAAAGAAAGAAAGAAAAATTAAAAAAAAAAAAACTAATGAAATTGATAACTTTGTCCAAATAGGTATTTTGCCTGTTAGGTTGGAACATAGGAGTAATATGCCCTTTGGCTGACTTTAAATTTGTGGACAACTTAGAAGATCCATTAAAAGCTAGAAGAAATTAAAAAAATTAAAATAAAAAATAAGAAGAAATTTTTGAGGGAAATTGATTTTGGATCTAGAACTCAGCACTCAAACATAAGAACAGAATAAGGTCATTTTCAACAAAGCATGGAAACAAAGGTTTATTTCTCATATTTCTATCTAGTAAATCTTCAGTACATTTGACTAGAATTAAATGCATTTAATTTCATCAAGAAATTTTTAAATTACTTTATTTTACATATGATTTTGGAGTTTAAGATGGGCAATTTTAATGTTATCCACTTACCCAGATAAGAAAATAACTAACTCACTTTTACTTTTCTATTTTAAAACACTTAATTTTAAGTAACTCCCAACAACTTTTGGAGGGGCTCTTGAGACACAAATAAGACACGTTGAGAGCTTCCCACCAGCAAGGGACTCTAACATCCCTCCCAGCCATTCCTCTTCCTCTGCCCCTGCACAGATGACCCAAGATGCTCTCTGTCATGCCTCGGTGTCCTCTTCCCACTCCCTCTCAACTGCTCCATTCAACCTCCTAGCCCTACTTCTCCAGTCAAACAGTCTTGACAAGGCCACTGTCCTCATCTCTCTGGACTTCCTAGGAACACATTCAACCTAGAGGACAACTTTGTCCTGGAAATGCATTTTCCTCCTTGGCCTGTGATACCACCCACCTTCGTGTGTGTGTGTGTGTGTGTGTGTGTGTGTGTGTGTGTTTGTGTGTTGTTTTCCCTGCCTGCCTGGCCTCTCCTGCTGAGTCTCCTCTACTGGCTTCTCCTATCCTTGGAACCTGGTCCCCAGACTCTCTTTTGCTTATCCATTCTCTCTCCTAAGATAATCCCTTCCAGTTTCATAACTCACAATACCATCTATCAATGACTCCCAAATATTTCTCTCTCCCTTGAGCTTCAGAGCCTACTTAACATCTCTCTGGTATCACAAGCATCTCAAACCTCATACTGCCCAAAGAGAACTCCTAATTCTTTCCCACTCCAAAGCCACACCTCCCAAAGGTATTCCTCTTAAGAAAAGGCCAACACCATCTATCCAGTTATTCAAGACTAGAGCCTAAGACTCAGTAAATTCATGGTGGTTAAACATATACTCTCTGGGCTAGGGCTGGGGCTCAGCAGCAGTACACTGGCCTGGCATGTATGAAGCACTGGGTTTGATTCTCAGCACTGCATATAAATAAATAAAATACAGGTCTATCAACAACTAAAAAAAAAAAAAAAGTATACTCTCTGGAGTCGCCTCAGTTAAAATACAACTCTATTATTTATAGTTAGTAACCAAATGACCTTGGGCAAATTAGGGCTCTTGTGAGAATTATAAATACTTAGAACACCAAATTCTAAGTATATTACCCCCCAGTGAGTGTACCATTGTTGTTCTTAACTCCTCCTCTCTAATTTCCATCAGTAGGTGCTACTTTGAGTTCTACTATCATAACATCCAGCTTCTGTCTACTCCTCCATTTCTATCACTATCACATTCAGGTGGCCCTCACTCTACTACAGGTGCCTCACTTTCCCCTCCCTCTTCTATTCTTGCCCTCACCATCCATTGTCTACAAAGCAGCCAGTGATTCTTCAAACCTCCAGTTTCTTCTCATTACACTGAAGTTTAAAATTCCAATTCCTTGCTTTGTCTTAAATGCCTTCAATTAGTCATTCACAATCCCACTCACACATTAGAATTTCTGTGGGGCTCTGAAAATTACTCATGCTTGGGCTCCATCTAGGTATGACACCAGTCAAAATTTAAAAGGCCACCAGCTGCTAGGGTTGTGGCTCAGCAGTAGCATGTGTGAGGCACTGGGTTTGATTCTCAGCACCAATGTTAATAAAGGTCCACTAACAACTAAGAAATATTTTAAATAAATAAATAAAAGGCCACCAGCTAATTCTTAGGTACAGCTAGGGCAGAACAACTTTGCTCTAAATGATTTGACTCTACCCACATCTCAAAGTCATGCTCCTATTCAAGCATGCATACCAGCTCACTGGTCTTTTTTCCTTTTCCTGTGTTTTAGATCTGTGTGTGTTTTCAGGAGTTTGCACCAACTATTCTTTCTGCCTGGAAAGCTCTTCTCACACTTCTCACAGTTGGGCCTTTCAGCCTCAGCTTAAACATTGCTCCCTAATGAGAACTTCTGACATCCATTTGAAAATAGATCACCAGATAGCACTTTGCTTTACTTTTGATCAAAGCAAATATATGTGCTTTGATACAAATGTATTTACAAATACAAACACATTTGTAGTACCTTCCTTTCCCCAGAAAAATATAAGTTCCAGGAGAGCTTAAGTGAACCATTCTCTGCTATGTCCTTCATAGGATGTAAATCAAGCAAACTGCAAGAATTCAATAAATATTTATTAAACAAACGAATGAATAGATAGGCATGTTTGGAAACTAGCTGCCTCAATGTCATCTTCCACTGCTTTAGAATAATATTTATTTCCTTAAGTTTTATGGGCTATTTCCTCCAGAAGGGCCATGGGGCCCTAGCATCTCTACATGCTTCTTCTGTGAAGATGCTAAAGGACAGGAGTTACATCAATCCTAGACCTGTGGATAATCCTCAGCCCTTACATTAACCATAGGACTGTACATCGCTTACCATGTCCCCTCTGTTTTTTTTTGCCAGAAATGAGAACAAAATCAAATTGATTGGTTTACATGATACTGGATTTAGTTTCCTCATCAAGATTCTCATCAAGGACAGGAGAGAAGTGACACATAAGGACAGGAGAAAGCAAGAAAGAAAAAAATCTACCTACCAGACAGCCAACTTTGGCTAGGAAAGTTTTCCCATCTGAAGCTCGACACTGTAAAAGGGCACTAAATTGAATACAGAATACTTCTCAAATAAACACAAAACAGCTTCATGGTTCCTTCAACCTAAAATATTTTCAGAAATTGTAAAAGGATATAAGAATATCTAAGTAACTGACCAAGACCATCGTTCACTGCCATGTGAGGTCTAGTAGTACTATCTTACCCCTAGAAGAGGAGGTATTACCTTTGGGACATCGCCTTTAATACCTGGGGGCAGCCGCAGGAGCCAGAAGTTCCTGTTTCTTAATAAGTTCTCCAAGTTTTCCAGGCGCCGCTGCAGCAGCCCATACTCCTGCAGCAGAGTCCCCAGCACGGCCCACTTGCCCTCCAGCTGGCTCCCAAGATCGGTCACTGTCTTTTCACAGCTGGCTAGCTTCTTCTCTGCTGTCCCTGTCCTGCCTTCTAGGTGTAGGAGACGCCGGCTGTGGACCTCCACCTTCCTCTCTATGGCCTGCACGGCGGCCACCACTGTCCACAGGGAGATGGCTGCAGTCTGTAGGTGTGCCTCATTTGCTGCTGGGGGTGTAGGAAGAGGAAGGGGCTGCAAGGATGTAAGGCACTCGGAATCCCATTCAGAAGTCTGTGTGCAGTGGAGAGATGGGACAAGACATTGAGTGTTAGAAGGAACTCTTGATTGCAAAGTACAATCTGATAAGAATTGCTTAATTGTCCATCTGAGATTAATCTAAATACAGTATTAGTGTGCTGGTATCAGTCTCATTGTTCTGGAGCTCATTGACCTCAAAAACTGGGAGGCCATTTTGGTGGTTCAGGAATGGAATTAGAAAGACTGTGAATCAAACTGGCTTTTAAGATCAAGTCTGGCACATTTCTTCTAATATATGACTTGGAGGCTCAGGTGGCTGCTGCTTTAGCTATCTCTGGAAAAGGCAAAACCTTACAAGGATTCTTCCAGGTTTCACTGAGCATAATGCCCTGGAACAAATCCCTTATAAACTTATGCTCTCGCCCTGTCCACCACCCTGCTTACACATCACAACCATACCATTCAGGAAGAAGTAAAAAAGATGGGGATGTTGAGCCTAGAGAAAATATGATGGCTGTTTTCAAATATTTGAGGATTATAAAACAGAAGGCAGAATGGACTTGTTTAATCTTATATTGTGTTACTCAAAAGGGCAGATTAGAGCCAACATGTGGAAATTTTCAGGCAAACTCTGACCTATAATAAATAATTTTTGAACTAGATCTTTTCACAAAAATAACAGGCTGCCCTATCACTGAATATATTTTGAAAAAGGAGTGGTATAAAAGGAAGAAATTCCTACAACAAATAGGAGGTTGGACTAGGATAACCTCTGCAAAGCCTTCTAATTCCATGAATCTGAACCCTCTTTCTGGTTCTCATACTACCGTATTCTCATTTCACCTGTCCTGTGAACTACTAACAGGCTAGTCTAGTTCAGTAGGGCAACACTGCCTGGTGCTCTCCAGGCATCTTTTCACATTCCACAAAGCCACCACAAACTTTTAAGGTAATGGCTAAAAATAATTTGTAGTTAAAATGCATGTTGATTCAGTAGGTCTGGGAGGAAAATGGAGATTCTGCATTTTAAAAAAGCTCCCAGACATGCTGCCTGATTTCAGGGCACACAGCAGTAGATGGAAAGACTTGCTGGCACTGCAGACTGAGGGCACTGCAGTTCCCTCAGTCTCAGGAGATGACATGGCTTCCTACTTTGAGAAACCAATTTGAATAATTGGACCTAAACTCTCTCAACTTTATCTTTTTCTTCATATCACTTCCCACTTACTCATCAGTAATTCCCTCCCAAGGAGAAAAGTTTCATCCTATTTAAAACCAGTCTCTCCACTTACACTCTCAATGTCAGCCAATCCCTTTCACCTTTTTAGGTACATTTGTTTCTTTTATCATCAACATGCCAATCTCTAGAGATTCTTCTCCATTAGATAGATCCTGTTCAATACCAGTCACTGGCTACTTGTGGCCACTGAGCACTTGCAGTGTGCTCAGTTCCACTGATTTGTGCTGTGAGTATAAAATACTCATGAGATTTTGAAGACTTGATAGAGAAAAAGCTGTTAAAAATCTCATGAGTGATTTTTGTAATACTGATTACTGTTGAAATAATATTTTTCATACATTGGATTATTATTTTTTTTTTTTTGATAAAAGGAAAAACAGGCCCAAGAGTAAAGATGACATTCCCCTCTGCTCTATTCTCCACCCCATTGCTGCTGCTCCCTCTTTTTATCTCTTCCTTTTTTCACTTTCAAGCCACTTCTCCGTGGACCAGTCTGGCTCCAGTACACTGCTGTCCTTGAGGGGGCCAAAGGCTTCTTTAGGTGGCAAATCCAAGGAATACTTTCCAATCCTTCTGCTACTGACCATTCCCTCCTCTTTCTAAATGGCTGTGTGCGGGAGCTGTCCCGGCTGCCTCTGTGCCCTGGCAGTTGGTAGAGTGCCGGGCCCACTGCAGGCCCGCAGTGAAGCGGCGCTCGCGCGGCTAATGCCACGCTCCGACAGCCGCAGCCCTTCACCGCGAAGCCTCCCGCAGGGCCTCGGCGCGTGCTGGGGCCGTCGTCACGCAGTCTGCAGAGGGCACACCTGGCTCCACCCTCCCCGCCGCGCAGGTGGCTGCACTGGGGGGACTTGGTGACGACAGCTCCTGCAGTTGGGAGAATGGCAGGCGGACCACAAAAACCACCCAAACCCAAGCGCACTCCCCGTTTCTGCAGGCTGACACCCAACGGGGCAGCCTCTCTCGGCTCCAGATCTCCCACCGGGGGATGCCTGGGCCTCCGCCCCGA